TGTGTGGTTTTAATTAAAGTTTGACTTTGACCTTTAATTATAAGGAGATTATAATGAAACGCAAAGAAGCTCCAATTATTCTTTCTGATTGTTAGCTTAATGTTTATTCGGTTAAAGAAATGGTTGAAGAACCACGTACCCCGTACCCATGCAAGCATACTTGAGAAAGTCAATTCTCTCCATGTTTAACTAATTAGTAAGTTTGAGCCAGTAAGAAGTTAGAAAAACATGTACAGGTTACTTAGTGTTTGATTTATTGCTTGTTGGTTTACTGGTCAAGAAAATTTTTATATATAATCGTTGGACTGCTTTGGTTGTTTCAGGATTTCCGAATAAGAACTCAATGATCTTTTTTGTAATGATCTTGTTTTATGCTATTAAATTCCGCCATTTCTGTGCATGATCTTGAAATTTGTAATGGCCTTTTTTTACAAGAAAATATGGTATCGGGTCACAATATTCCTAAAACATTCAACATGATAATTTGAATTTAAATACTTCAAAGTGACTTTTTAAAATATTTTAGTAGTTGCAAAATACTTTATCAATCCATTCATTTACAGGCATATCACAGAGATTTGTTGGAACAAATGGCTCATATGACTGTTGCAAGAAGTTCCACTCCACCAGCTTTAGTTTGTGACAGAAATCCTACTAAGAGATCTCCTGTTCGACGCGGAAAAGAAGATAGGAGATCTGGCTCAAGGAGGCACCGTAAAGTCCCTCGAAATAGGGAAAATGCTTGAATTCAATTTTATCCCTTTTGTGCCAAAATTAAGTTATAGTCTCTTTTATTTGACAAAAATAGGACATTTTTTTCAGATTTTTCTAGGGTATAGTTTTAGGGTTTTAGCAAAGATCGAAATACGGAAGAAAAATAATTGAATTTTGTGCAAAACTGTCAATATCAATTCTTTCAGGCTGTAAATGCTGAATGCCAATAATTTTGACAAGTTCTTGATTCAGAAATTCAACTGCACTTTAGATATTGTTGAACCATTAGTCTTTCAATTTAACTTTATGTCTCTTGCTTTTGGAAACACTTTTATTTGGATCCAATCTTGTGGATAATGAACTATTTCTTTATTTACATCTTTCGTTTAAAGAATCTATTCTTTACTTTCTTTTTGGTCACCGTCACATGGTTCAATGAATGAAAATATTTTCTTTGTTGGACAATGGAATAGTGGAAGATGATTGTTCATCATCCTTGTTGACGAAGAAAACTACTTTAGCTGTTCTCAACTATAAATATGACGGGTTTTTACCAAGCATTTCTTCTTGTCATAGTCAAATAATATATTTTTCTCTTTTTTAATTAAATAGATAAGTCGTTTTAATTAAAGGTTGGTCACTCTATGCCTTATACATTTTGTGCTAATTATCGATTTTTAATAAATCACTTTTCATCTTACAAAATGGAGCGTTGAAGTAACTGAAAGTAGGAGAATTCATCGCTTGGTCCATTTTTGAGAAAGTAAGTCAAAGAATCCAATTTTTCATAATTCATAGGTACAGGCAAGAAGATAAATACAAATCCTCAAGCATGATTTATGACCCCTCTGGTTTTCATTGTTTTAGCAACAACCATATCCAATGGAGTATTTAAATTATCATTCAAAGAGATAATGTAAACTCATGATCTGATGGGGCCATGTTGAATAAATAAAAACTAAAAAAATCCACAAGGTATAGGTATGGAAATGAGCAATCTCAAGAACATCAAGATAATCATTTTAAATAAAAATAATTAAAGTTGATTTCTTTCCCTTTTTTGTATCAAAGTTACTTGTTAGTTCTGGCTGATTAGCTGTAAGAAACTTTCTTGTTACCTTAAATTTGAAACTCTCAGATCTTTTCTAAAAACCCTTTTTCATATTCCATCAGTTATCTACTTGTTTACTCTTCATATGTGTCTCAGGGTTTTGAATCTTGGATCCATCTTTCTGTCTTTGTCTCTCTCTGTATGCCCTTAAGATGATTACGCTATTTTTCATAGAAGCCCATCTTGGGGATCTACTGAGGGGCTGTGATATATGTATTTAATTGTCGTTTCAGTTCAAGAATCTAGTTTTTAGAAGGAAATATCTTGTCGGTTTTGGTTAATTTATGCATATTCTTGAGTTAAATTGTTCTGTTTTTTTATTTGATTACTCAGAAATACGCATCAATGAATTGGGTGTTTTTTAATATTTGGAGGGTGTAACCCTAACAATTGAGTGTTTAACAGCATTATTTTGAATGTTCAATGGTGTCACCTGGGTTTTTTCTTATATGTATGCTCCATTCTTTGATGGCTTTAAGCTGTGGAGCTCTAATGATGTTTTATAGCAATGAGATTTTTGTGTTTAGCCATGGTAAAGAACATGCCAGCAAGCTTATGGGTTCAACACCCCATGATCAGCCGCTAATCCAAACATCAGACTTGTTTTCGGGTTTGCTTTTATTTGCCATTGGGTTTCTCTTGTTTATGGTGGCTTTTGTGAAGGACAGAGAGTTTCATAGCTTCTTTACCAAGGGCTGTGTCCTTCTCCATGTAGCAATGGTTATTTGGAGAATTTACTTTGGAAGGAAGGTCGAAGATCTAGGCCGCGATTGGCTTAGGCTTGTAGTTGGGGATATTGCATTGGGAGTTTCTTGGGTTTTCTTTCTTGTGTATTCATGAAGAGAGAAGTATGATTAGTTCTAGTTGGGAACCCGTGATGATCCGTCTCTGCTATAGAAATACGGATCTTTGATATTTGCTTGTTGTTGAGGTGTGTAAAATAGTGATATAAATATTGGAATTCTCATTGATTCAAATGTGTCAAATGGATTTGATCCTCTATTCGAGGATGGAAGCGGAGAATTGCTTGAAATCTTGCCAAGCATAATGGTTAAGCTCGGGAATCATTACGCACTAGATTTGATTCAGCAAAATGAGGTTAACATTTCTTAGATAGATCTTGTATACTCTTGAAACTTTGATTCGATCAGGGAGAAACTTCCTTATTTTTGTTTTTGGCCTTTCGTGTATAATTTTTCCTTGTTATCTTGGTATAGATAATCTTCACTGTAAAAACTTCTCAAATAAGCAATGAAATGTGAGATATCTCTTGATGTCCACGCTTGATTTTTGTTTATTTTCATGCATAACATTCCTTTTTCTTAATCTGGTGTTGATATTGTTGACGTCAGTCATTGAAATTAGTTGTAAAGAATGCTTACTCGATCAGAGTCTCTAAGGAAACTGAAATGATTAGTTCATGTGAATTTTGTTTGCTCTTTGTGGCTCATCTTGTTGTTAAGTAAGATCATTCTGTCAAACTGGTTATTTCTACTATAAATTGGAACAAGTCGTTGAAAATGGATGTACAGATCTCTTCATTGGAAATTCTATCTTTGGTTGAAGGTGACTCCTACATCGTCTATTTATTGAAAAATGGATTATGCTACGTGTGCACCTCTGATGTACACAACCATTTACACCTCCCTCACATGGAGGAGGGCTCGCGCGAAATAAATTATTCGTGGGCTCCCCTTAATATGTGAGGGCTATCAACGTGTGTGTACACCGAAAGTGTATACACAGACTCATCCTTGAAAAATTAGTATAGACAATTCATACAGAGTTTCAGCCTGTAAAAGAAGGTTAATTGGCATACCTATCATGTTTATTGTGGAAAACGTCCATACTTTTCATTTTTTTGGCATTTTTGCCCTTATTTCTACATTTCATGGCGTTGAACGTCATTTTCACCAATATTGGACAATTTTACCCTCCATTCAAATAAAACAAAAAGAAAAGAGAGGAAACAACAGATAACTAATTACAACAATAGCCCCCAATTTTTAAAAAATGACAAATGGCATCTAGTTTCTGTTCCTTCTTCTTCAAGTGTGTGAAAAACACCGTTTGACTCGAAAATTTGGCAAACGACTACTATAATTTCTAAAATTGAACAATTACCCAGTGTTTTTAGGGCTTGAATTTGAGTTTCCTCAGGTTGATTCATATGTTGAGACACATTAGACTCATGAATTGATGAAGAATTATCTTCTTCGCGTGGTCTCACATTTCGTGAGGTCAAATCAATATTTGTTGCATTTGACTGATGAATTGAAGCAACTAAATCTATATTCAGTGTCGTTTGACCTTCAATTGCATGCTGATTAATGTAATTAGTAGATTGGAGTCATGGAAGGATGCCAATTGAAAGGGAATTGGCCGCGAGGTTGCTGACTCGAAAATTGGTTGTAGATCTCGATTTTCTGGATTGTTTGTTGTAATTGGAACATGTATGGATGCATCTTGATGAGCTTGAGCAACCTGTGAGTTGTATGGAACATGGGCATCTATGGATTTGGTCGAATTTGCAATAAAACCGTGCATGAGAGGCAATTTTTGGGCAAAATTTGTCTCGATTTTGCTAGGATTTGGGGCTGGAATTTGCGTGAGGATGTAAGGGCTCCACGGTTGTTGGCACCTATGTTGAAAATTTTGTATATATTTTGACTGATTTGTAATTTTTTAAAAATTAAGGGTTGTGGTTGCAATTAGTTATTTGTTGTTTCCTTTATCTTTTTTTTTTCTTTTTTGTTTTATTTGAATGGAGGGTAAAATTGTTCAAAATTGGTAAGAAGGAAGTTCAGCCAAGAAAGGTGGAAATAAAGGCAAAAATGTCAAAAAAGAAAGGTAAGGACGTTTTCCACAATATACATGAAAGGTAGGGGCGTTTTGTGCCAATTACCAACAAAAGAATGAAGGTTTCAATTCATTACAATGCAGACGACATTGATTTCTTCTTTGATCAAGAATTTCGATTGTCTATTCATTTCAAGAATTGCGATAGACTTTAAATTTCGTCGCATATTTCGGCTTTCATTATTTGCCAAATTCTTCTCTCCCTATAACCTAAAAGTAAAATGGAAAGCAACATATTCTTTGGCTTTTGGTTTTTCCATTACAGATTCTTTGTTTTTTTTGTTCTTCCTCTCTCTCTTTCTCCTCCTCTCACATTCCTTTTCCTTATTGATCATTCTGAACATGACAACATGAACTCTAGTGATCAAGTGGCGATTATAATTGACAATTTAATTGATAGTGGTCAATGGAAAACACGGTCGATGACAACCAATGGTGGTTGCCAATGAAAATGTCCGATGTTGTGGGTATATAAGGTAGTGTTTGATTGGCATGAAAAATGTGTCCTAGAAGAGAAAATGTTTTTCTTGTTTTAAGAAAAGCAAAAACTTACCCCCCCCCCCCCAAGAAAAAAGAAAATGTCTTCCTCAAAAACAAGGAAAACTAGGTATATTTTCGAAGATTGGAAAATATTTCCATGGAAAAAAAACACAATCAAACACTCAAAAAGTTGGAATTCGGGTGGAAAAAAGGCCATTTTCCATGGAGATTTTTCCAATCAAACACACCTTAATTTCAATTGTCTAGGAACGAACACTGGAAAATATTAGAAACTAGTAATAGAGTTTCATTATCAACACAGACATTGAACCTTATATAGATAGAGACAACAATGTGACACTCACAATTCACTCAATAACTAGAACAAGACACACCACACAAATGTGATGAACTTATTTTGTCGTGCTAAATATTACATATATGGACAGAGCATTAGATATGTGTTTATACAGTGAGAGCAACAAATGCAATAGGTGCAAGTGCAACTTGTACCGTACTTGCACTTACCGTAGTTCTTGACTGCTGTCGAAGCATCCATGACAACCCTCTCGATGTAGCTACAATATCAAAATCCAGCAGCACAGATAATATAACAAGAAGGGTAAATGTCCCACGTCAAATTAATATGAAACAAGCTCTTCTCAATAAGGCTGATTTTTTAAAATTGAACAGTGCAAGAAAAGTAATTCAAGAAATGTTGCATCTATGCATGCATGCTTCTTATATCTTTGATATCTAGTTTACGCTATTTAGCATGGATTTTGAATTTAAAAAAAAAATTATATAGTTTTTTTTCCCTATGATTTCCATTTTGTGGGTTTTAACTATAAAGAAGAAGGGAGTCTCTTAACCCAAGAAATTTAAGATACCTTGCCTCTATCTCGATTATGTCGATACCTGTTAAGTTGAAAAAGGTTAAGTTTCAAGAAATCGGATCGCTTTGCAGTAAAAATAATTCGCAGAAAATTAAAAGGACTCGAACACAAATATATGTTTCGCCTAAAAAGGATCTGGATGTTCAGTCTTGCCACCTAATCACCCGTTGAGCATCACCAAAAGGTGATAAAGCTCAAGATTCACTAAGTATCAACCAATTTCCTTTCGCCTCTATTAAAAAGTGTAATCCAACTCATTCTCAATCACTAACAAACTATACAACACAATCAGAAACCATCACTAAGATTACAGATTGAGAAATCACCAAGAATATATCGAATTATAGTAATCCAAGAATCCTAATCTATCACTTAGAGAAAAGGAGAGAAAAGCGAAAGGTTGAAAGACTTCGAATCGTCTAGAATCAGAGCCAAAACTAAGTAAGTATCTGATCAGTCAACCATCCAAGGGTGAGGGTGAAGCCACGTGTACGGCTGAACCTCAACCATTTAAAAGGCAAAAGTGTGTTTCTCTAAAATGCGTTTTATAACCCGAAATTAATTCCAACATACCAAGCC